AGTGGCAGAAGGCTCAAGTATGAGCAGAATCAAGGCTGGGCCACCTTGTTTTCAAGAAACCATGCACAGGGGCTCAAGCTTAGAAGTGCTCACATTCCTTCTGAACCCCTTTGAGGTTTCTAAGCACTCATACAGAACACCTGATTTTTTTTAATGGAAAGGGCCTTTCTTTGATTCATGTAAGCTGGTTTGTGGGGAGGGCATACTTCTTTGGTTATTAACCAAATGTTGAAGAAAAGGTCAACACTCTTCTGAGAAATCTCTAACCAGTCTGTCAAACTAATTTGGACAGTTGCTCTAAAATATGCATTGGATCCTGTTGGTTTCCTTTGCCACATGTTATAAATTATCCATATCAGGTAAGTTGACCATCCTCATGAAATTATACAATTGGGTCATTCAGGTGCAACAACAACAACAATAGCTGCTAGTGTTATCTATTTAAGTCTGGGTTGCCAAGGGCTTTTTGTGCCTCATGTTAATTAACACTGGAAATGGTTAATGGTTTCTGGAAAAGATGAAGTTCTAGATAAAAGATGGATTAACTTTAATGTACCTTGTAATCCTTTCCTCATGGCATATTGGCACTATGTTGCTGGCTACATTTAATTTCAGGCAAAATGCAGCTAATTCCCTTTCCAGCTAGTCGGCATTACTGCAGTTATTAGACCCCCAGCTCTAGATCCCTGATCTGATTTCTGTGCAATAATGTATTTGGATTAGCTTGTGGCTTTTATCAGCTCATCATTCAGGGATTGTTCGATGACACTCCAATCCTATACATTCATTTGATTGCGATGGCATACAGACTGTATTGGGCTAATTGCTTCTGTGTCATCCTTTACTTTCCAAGTAGACAGATAAAATGATTTTTACTTTGAATTGACCTGTCATTTCTATTCTGCTTGCTAAATATGACTTGTCCAGGAGTTGCTTCTTTTTGGGAGCAGGTTACTAGATGAATACATGTATTCATGCACTGGAACAACCTGTAATGATTTATCTTCTTCTTGTAAGTTAATAAATGGTCAGCACAAATGGACTTTCTGTACCCTTTTGACAGTCAAAAGACTGATACTACAACACTGGAAGGATAAATGCTCATCTTGTATAATGCAATGGACTGATGACCTTGTAGCTCGTTCAGTTTCATACAGACACTGCCTTCAAGGACACACTTATTTGGCTATCGGGTCAGCTTTTGTTGAGGCTTATGTATAATTGCTAGATAGTTGTAACTTTATATATGTATCCATTACTGATGATATATACAATTCTATGTATGTATTATATATTAAAAGAACTGGAAAATATCTCCTTCCAGAAATGCTTTGAGTGCATTAGGGCCAAAATAAACATTCGGTCTAGTATGAAGCTAGAAGCTTTCTTCACCTCCGTGTAACTCGTGCACCTTAGTTCGGATCCAGAACATTGCATTGCAGGAACAGAGGGGATTAAATATTTCCATACCACCTGGTTCTTCATGAAACTCCTTACCTGTGGTGGTGGGGAGTTGAAGCGGAGGCAGGGTGGAGATGCTGCCCTGGAGTTTAGCTTTATGAAATTTCACTCAAAAAGGGGAAATGTTTAACTTATCCCCACCATCCTGGAGCATCACAATCTCAGTTCAAATCAGCCGCCACATATATTTACACAAAGTTAAAGAAAACTCACACAAATAGCTTCATTGTGTGTGCTGGACAGATGGATGAGCTACAAAAGCAAAGTACATTGCACCTCTTTGAGCATTAATATACTTGAGCTGTTTGCTCGAACCCATAGGCTGTGCTTATTCCACACCCCCTACCTATTTTCAAAGTGGGGAAAGCGAGTGTACATCCTCAGGAGAATGATGCAAATTATATTTTTCTAAAGACATTTATCAGCACACCAAAGGATTAGCCATAAATATATGCTAGCACTCATTACAGCATCTCCTGGGGTTGCTTTTGATTTACTTTGGAAATTAAAGTGCTAACCATATTGAAAGTCAGGATATCAGATGCTAACTCAATCCGGATCTCTGTTATCACACAGTGCAAGCCACAGCATTCCACACTTGCGGCTGCGTTCAATAAGAAAACCGTTGCAGAGTATTCTTAGTACTTTTGTTCTGCATGTATTTGCAAAAATGCTGTAGGAGCCGACTTTCTAAAGAGCCGCATGAGCCCCACCAGAGACTTACAGGGATGACTGAGGAAGGGAAAATGGCAGGAAGACAATCTGGGTTTTCTCTTCTCCTTTCTTTTTGTGACATTACATCAGTTTGAGAACAGCAGCTTCACAATAGTGAAGCCCAAATAAAGGGGAAAGAGGTAAACAAAGCCAAAAGAGAAGAGTGAAATGAAGGCTCAGTTCTAAACAATGAACTTATATTCATTGGAGGACACGGTTAAAACTTTAGCAGACCAAATTTCCACCTCTATCATGGGAACCCGCTTGGATTCAAGCATCTTTACATATACCGAGTGTTTGATTCCAGATGTTTTGGAAGAGAAGACTCATCAGCCATAGCTAACATAGCCTATGGGTAGGGATGATAGAACTTGCAGACCAAAGCATCTGGAAGGACAATATTTTGCAGCAAAAGTGAAGAACAAGAAGGCACCTGTCCCATTCCATGTAGAAAAGCCAACTGGACTGGCAGATGACTCTTCAGCACTGATCCTGTGACAGCACCTGAAGGAGGGAGGCCAACTTAGGGGCTACAGGAATCTTCCCACAGTTGGTTGCCTCCTTCCAGCATTTACCACCTGAGGTGACTGAATCACGCTTCTTAATGTAGGGCTGGCCCTGAAGAGGGCAGTAAAACCTAGCCGCATATATGTAGGTTAAGTCTTGTGTGTGTTTTCTGATAAAGCATTCCATCCTAAATGTTTTTTTCTCTTGTGCATTGCAACTGGAACTGTTGCAATAAATTCCTGTTATACCCATAGGATTTTGTTGCTATTTTCAATACATAAGGCCGCAGGGGAGCTTACAGTGCTCTGAGCCTGACACTTTAGCATTGAACTGGAACCACAGGAAGCAGAGCCTGAACAAAACAACAACAGCCCAGTTCCAAACTGGCACAAGGGGCCAGTCGTGCCAATGTTTCTTCATCCCCATTGGCTATGCATAAGCAGAATGGAATGGTAGAATTCTGGAGGCATGCCATTACTGTCTTCATTTTCATAGTTTTAAATGTTTTATTACATTATCAAAAACAACCCATCCCCCAGTTTATACTAAACAAGCTCATATTTAATAGTATTTTCATAGAGCACCATCAGTGTACATACTGGTTTCTAGAATTTGTTCCTACAGAACAAGTTCTACACCGAGAAGTTACATTTTGACAGAGGGAGAGGGAGATGGAAATGCAGCACAATCAGGAGTTTTCATTAACCTTCTTGCCCTCTCATCCAGTTATCCAAAAAGTATACAACAACCTCAGTAGAATGGTTGCTAACATATGAGAACTATCTTTTTCCATATGTTAGGGCCCCCTCTGCAATCTGGTACATGGCAAAGTGATAAAGACAATTTAAGATTGCATCTCACAAATGGAAGACCTTCCCATCATGCCCAGAGACATTTTTTCTCTTGTTACCACATCTTTATTTGGTCCATAGAAGAGATCTGGGGACCTCAGAAGGTTGTTTGCTATTTTGCAATTTTGACAGTGAAGACCAGTTGTTAGGAAGAAAGGGCCGGAGAACATTTATTATGTTGTCCTCATGCCCTGCCCATGGACTTCCTGAAGGCCTTTGTTGGTCAGAGTTGCAAAGAAGATGCCATAACAGTCAGATCTTTCATCTGATTCAGCAAGGCTCTTCTTAGGAAATTTTAGTGCTATCTAATAAAGTTATTACTCTACTGTTTTCCCATGACTTTTGAATTTCCCTTCCCACCATTCCCTGCAATGAAACAACATGACAACCTGAAATCTATGCATGTGAATGGGTGTTCCATCACACAGGCAACGGTCCAATTAATCATTTCTCTCTCTTAAGAAGTAGAAAATTCCTTTGCTCTAATACCTGGGACAGTGACAGTTCATCTTGGTTGGCTGAACTGACTTGAGAAAAGCCCTGCTGGATCAGACCTTAGGCTTGTCCAGTCCAGTATTCTTTTCTCACAGAAATCAACCAGATACCTTTGGGAAGGCTCAAGCAGAGCAAGGCAGGTTTCTGCTGTTTGAGGACAGTTTTAGTCCCCTTTAAAGTGGATGTTAGCCATATCTGGCTCATTCTGCTATGGAAATCAGGCCAATGAAAGCCTGGTCCATCCCAGAGAGAAAACTGGATGGCAAGAAGGTGCAGTATACTAACTGCCTGACTTGTTCTTTCTTTAGTCTGGATCTTGTTTTCCTGAGGAGGAAAAAAAGACAGACATTTGTTTCTGGCCTTGTCTACTGCTGGCTTTGGCCCTACTTGCCCCCAATATGAGACCAGTGACAGATTGTCCATGAAGAATTGCAGCTCTTAACCCCTCCAAAAGAGAGGGATCCCCACCCTGCTTTGAACCCCTCTTCCTATCTTTCTTTGTAGACTCAACTGGTATCAACATTCTTTATGCTCACAGATTCCTAGTAGGCAGCTTGGTAAAGCATCATTTTCTTGTTCACAAGCTGATTACTTCCATGTGCTTAGGTCATTCCCAAACACAGGTAGAAGTTATGCCTTTGTTTCTGGGTGGCACTGTTTTGCTTCCAAACTAATCTGCAGGCAGTCACCTCCGTTTTGCTGTGAAAGGGAATGATGGATTCGAAGGCACCTGAGCAAAGTCTACCTGTTGGGCGGTTATATTAGTTTGGCACAAGGGTTAAGGGATTTGTGGAGACTGGAGATCACCAAAGATCTACAACAAACAAACAAACAAACAAACAACCGCACAGACATGTGTTCATGTTGTTGACTGCCTTATAAAAGCTGTCTTCTAGCAGTGTGATTCTGGTTTCTTGCTCTGCTTTTAAAACAAAGCATCGCCCACACACATCAAGAGAAGGTGATCATTACCTGCGGATGTGTGCTTGAACTTCTCACTCTTCTTCTTCCTCCACTTCCATGGCTTGAAAAGTCTTCCTAGAGTGGCAAACTTGCTTCTCCTCCGGATCGGAGGGGTATGTGTTCCTGGAACCAGGGAGTCCGATCGCATTGCAGCCAGTCTCTCCACTTCTTCAGCTGTGTTTGCCATAATGAAAGAAGAGGAGGAAAGGCGGGGGGAGAAGAATGTCAATAAACTAGATAGACAACATTTCCCTTGCCAGAGAGAAAAAGTGTTATTTTTAAGTCAAGTTCACATTGTGCTGACAAAGTTAACTATGAATAGTAACACTTGCCCCTTCGGATAGCACCTTGCAATCAAGTTCACTGATAATCTCAAAAGGTGATCCCACACTTCCAAAAGATATTTTCTCCTCAGAATTATGTAAATAATTCATTTGAAGCTTGTCTTTAAATCAAGCAAGGAAGGGCAGGAGGAAGATAACTGTCTTGGATTAAAATCGGAAAGAAAACAGGAGTATTGCTTAAATGTTTAAAGCTGGAACCTGCTTCTGTAACTTCTGAAAAAACAAATTATACTTCCCACCCCTCACAAATATTTCAAGCAACTGTGGGTGGGAGAGGCGGAGTGTCTGCAGTGTGGGGTAGAGAAAGCAACTTACCTTCCTCCTGGCTAAGCTACTCAACAGTACCTCTGAGTAACCACTGCAAACCCCTATGTTTATGGCAGGCTTGCTGGTCCAAAAGCACAACTCTCAGGCAATCTTCAGAACCTTGCAGCTTCAACCCACTAAAGCCACTGAGCTGAAGTGGGACATTAATCTCCCAGCCCTATACTCTTTGCTGCAACTAAGTCCAGTGGAGGTTGTGTTCAAGAAAGCATGCCTAGCATTACAGTCTAATTCCAGTAAAACATACACAGGAGCAAACTGCATGAGTTTGCTTCCCCAACCTGTAGCCCTCCAGATGTTTGTGAATGCAGTTTTCAGGATTCCAACTACTGCTCAATGGTTGACTGCTGTTGAGCAATCATTGATGCATGAGGTTGGAAAAGGCTGATACTAAGGGCATACAGGTGTCCATGCATGATTCCAAGGACTGGAGGTATTCTGTTCAATTTCAGGGAATAGCCATTCATTTAAGCATGTGAGACCAACTTAGTCTGCAGCTCCTATAATCCCTCATCATTGGCCATATTGGCTTAAACAGATGGGAGCTGTATTAGTGTTAGTTTAACACGTATTGAAGGTGCCTCTGTCCTCATTTGCATCTGGCCACACTGTATCGCCCCCCCCCCCCCGCAAATTAGAGTGCTATAAGTAAATACTTGAATATCATTGAACCAACACTGAAGCATAAAACCTCAAGCATGTAAATGGCAGGAGAATATGTCTCATATACTTAGAATAGGCTTGCAAGTTCTTCAAGCTAACTTGTAATAGTTACAGAATCTGTGAAAGCTACAATCATCCACTTTCTTCTGTTTTCCCATACATAAAACTAATTCTGCCCCTAAGTACATTTTCTTTAGGTTGCCTTGGAATCTTAAGGTCTCAATTTTTACATAATGCCTGCCCATTTGGAGCCAAGCATGTTTTTCATTTCAACACCCGACTGTTATATTGTAGGGCTAAATAGGAAAAAAAGTGGTAGGTAGTTTGCAATTTATTTCACTTCACTTGGCCAAAAACGCACACAAACAGAAATAATTATTGGGGATGGTAGGAACTGTCTGGGGGCAAAGATTTTTGTGATGGAAAAGTTAAAAGTGAGCAGGAACTTGATCAGATGCAGCTTTCTACATGAACTCTTTAGCACAGCCAACTTGCTTAGAGGAAAGTTTGCTCAGGCAGAGCATTCTGGGGTGTGATGTGGTCATGCACATGGTAGGCATGTCATGAGCAGAGCCGGGGTCAGACTAGATTTCTATGTCATCATGACATCATGGCTTGCAAATCAACCTATGACCAATGAAGGAAAAACTCATCTCAGACTTCCCAATACATCTCATTCAATTCTTCTGTCCTTAACAATAATGTGAGAGCCAGTGTGGTGTAGAGTCTGGGACTGGGACTCAGGCAATCTGGGTTCTAGTCCCCGCTAAGCCTTGGAGCTCACTGGGTGACTTTAAGCCAGTCACAGACTCTCAGCCTAACCTATCTCACAGGGCTGTTGTTGTGGGGATAGGACTAAGAGCAGCAGGGGGAGAACGATGTAATGTTGAGTTCTTTAAAAAAGAAAAAGGTGAGATATAAATCTAGTAAATAAATATTTTAGACCACTTCACTCTCTCCACAGCTGCTTTCCCCAACCTGGTGCCTACTGGATGCTTTAGATTCTGACCCAACATTCCAGACCATTGACCTTGCTGGTTAGGGCTGACAGGAGTTGAAGTCCAAAACATCTGGCAGTCACCAGGTTGGGGAAGGTTCCTCTGGAGAAACATGGGCTGGCTCCAGATTTAGTATACTTAGAACAGACCCAATGACCCAGTAGGATTTATTCATGCCGAACTGAAGTCCCTTCGATGTAAACAAATTTATTCCAAACGATAAAATTTGGAACAAATCCTATGTAACTAAAGGAAGTCCAATTTTATTGAAAGACCAAACACACTATGCTCTTATCTATTAAACAAACCATGCCCTCAAGTTGGTGTTTTTCTACTGTTGTATTGAATAAAAACAACCATGGAGAAAATATGGGCTAAAGGCTGGGCTGAACTGCTTTACTGGGTGGAGAAACTGTGCAGAGAATTTTTAAAAAAATCATTTAAAGCCAGCTGGGAATAGTCCTGTGACCGAGGCTGCTAATCAGCCCGACTTCTATAATAAAGCCCATCCCTGACAAACATTAAAGCAGCGGGTGCATCCTGTCCGCATCACCACCTGCCACCGCTTGCTTGTGTTCAATTCCTCAATGGATGGCAATTATTGCTGCAAAAACACACTTTGGGTCACAGTTGCTAAGCATGTTCCTCCTCCACTAGTTTTCAAGAAGGTTACGTTAATTGACTGGGTACTGTTGAGGCAATAGGGAGAGGATGCATCTTTTAAAATCTATTTAAATGATTGACCCCATGACATCATGTGGCACAGAAAATGGTAACATGGAAGTTGTTTTTACTTCTAGAAGCCGCTGACTGAGATAGGACAAGTAACATACGCACAGAAATAATAAAGATATACTGGTGGTAAAGAGTCATAGAATATTTGCATTATTGAGGATGACATACTGAGCTAGTTACTAGCGAGTGAGACCTATTGGGCAAACAGAACTTATTCCTGAATAAACATGCGAGGGATTGCACTGTGTCATTTCCACAGTGCTTCCCAGCCAGGTGTAATAGAGTTCATATTTCTTTACTGCATTCTGTGTGCCCACTTCCACCATTTCCCCAACTTCCCTTTCATCAAAAACTATTGATTTTGCCTAATACACACCTATTTCTCAGAAATCAAGTTAGACTGAGAGGATGGCCTGTGCTTCACCTTTACAAATTAAATATAATCCTGAGTGCAACTTAAATTAATACAAGCAGCAATGTTTACAAGTGACAGCATTTTTCTGAATTTAAACTGACTTACCACTTCTCAGTTAATTGCTAGATTGAGATAATAAAGAAATAGGAAAACATAAATGTTCCAATGCAGAATGCTTGGTAAATAAAATACACAACACCAAAAAATAAAGGCTGGTTCAGCACTGTTTTCCTTTCTGGTTAAAATGCATTCAAGGAAAGGATGGAAATCACACTGGGAAGGAAACCTCTTTAGACACAGGTCCAAACAAGTCAGGTGATATACCCTGACCTTATAACATTTTCTGGGTGCCAAGAAAGGAGAAGCTGTGGGAGACAGAGAGGGGAGAGTAATACGTGTGCCGGTTGGTTAAATATCCCTGCACTCAGAAATCTGGTCTGTCTCTGATGTTTCCCTGGCACTGTGATGCATTCCCTTGATTGTTCCTAGTGTCCAGCCTTTGGAACTATCTGGATGGAAAATGCAGAAAGTAATGGGGATAGGTTTCTTCTGCAAGGCCTTCCATAGGTGATATTTTGTGCTGTCTGCTGTCCGTGATTGTTGTACTGATACCCCATGCTCCTCCTGTAGCCTGGCTCATCTATCCTGCTATCAGTCTTAACAGCAACGCATAGATTTGGACACTGGCCTTCTTCTGGCTTATAGCTTAGATACAAAATTAAAGGAGGGGAGAATTGGAGGGGAGCATTGCTAGCATTACAATGGTGATACTCTTTAAGTATGTCCAACTGCAAAAAGTATGTGGTATGTATGCTGCAAAAAGAGCAGACCTTTTAAACTATTTTTGTTTCTACTCTAAGAGGCAATGAGTTTTGTTTATCATGGGTCTCCTAACTATAAGACCAGGATAGTAATGAGCCAATTGATGAAGGTTCTTAATTAGTATTTATTTTTAAGTGTGCAGCATAAAACTGCTTGAGAAATTGTTAACAGAAGACATGATTCAAAGTTAAGACTTATTTCAGTGGGACAGATAGAGATATGTTTTAGTTTTTCCCTGAAATCAAAGGACTTTAAGTGTCTTTTAGCTGGATTGTGCATAGTAACACTCAACGAAATGATGTGCAAAGCTTTTAGCACTCTTGGAGTTGGATCAGAATGATGAGACGAAGGCAACTGAGTTGCTAGGCTGTTCTCTGACTCCATGGACTGCTTTCCGCATGCTAGACTTAAATCAGAATTACTAGAATTAAATCAAGGATATTGAGTTGTTTATAGACCATCCGCCTTCAACAAATTACATTGGCTGCAGTAGATGAAAAGACTGCGATAATAAATATATGCTTCCTACTTCTTTAATACCTCATACTTTCTGTAAAAAAACCTAAGATCTATGTTGTGTCACATTGACCTACTTTCTAGATGTGGCAAAACTGACACCCTCAATGACATTTGCAGAGATGGAAAGGATGCTTGACTAGGCTTCAGACTCAGTATCAATCTTTTATAATAAAGCATGCAAACTTCATTTTCAAAATCAAATCTGCCTCAATGGAAGTACAGTAAAACAGAATCACTTTGCAGAGCTGAAAAGTTGTATTAAAATAAGCAATCAAAGCTGGGTGGAATTCACCTACAAGTTCAAATGTGCATTTTTAATCTTTTCACTAAAATGAAAAATTGC